CACGCCTCTGAATAAACGCCCCAAATACGATCCCGTCTATGTGCTTTGGAAAAACTCCTTTGAGGATCAAAAAACACGCACACCACGCAAGGTTTCTCCCATAAGGGATCAAAGTAAAATTTCGCATAATATACCAGATGCAGTGGCTGGGCAGCTAACCCCCGATGGTTTTCCATCCTACAGTGAGTTGAAACCAAACCAAAAGAGCGAGAGCTGCGCGAAAGAGATCAGCAGTGAGGACAACAAAGAAAAATCAGCATCTTCGGAAAATTCCATAGTGAAGCAAGAAGCAACTACGCCTTCACTAAGCGACGAAGAAGAGATAGAAGATTATGGAGCTATGTTGGTTAGAAGCTGGATTGAAAGTTATACAACAGACGGAAGCGGCTACACAGAAGGCCACCTAGTTGAAGCAGAAAATTCCGGCAGCGAAGAATCCGGCTACGAAGAAAAGGCTAGTAACTTGAAGAATAATTCCCATTCAAGTGATGAAAGCCGGGTGCATCATTCTGCATCATCAACGTTTGATGGCGATTCGCCTGTTTTCTTTAGGAAGCTAAGTTATGATATGCGAAGAAGCTATTATTATTTGTAAAATTAGGAATAAATTTCGTAGGCTAAAGTTTTAATTTTACTGAGTCAAACAAATGTTAGGTCTGAGCAGACCAAATGTTTTTTCATCAATTTAATTGCGGCGTTTTTTCATTGGACAAATTCAAATCATATGTCTTAGTACTTTCAATTGTTGAGGAAACCAGTATAAGTTATAAATAAAATCACATTAAGGCAAAAATGCATAAAGTTACTCTGTTTCACAATTATAAAAATTATATCGAGATTTTTCTAAACACTTGAGGAATTTTTTCACTGTGGGTTCAAGCCTTGGTCAAAGCAACATCGCTAAAAAATATAGAGAAAAGGGTTTTTCTTAACAGCGGTCGCCCCTCGGCAGGCAATGGCAAATCTCCGAGTGTATTTCTGCTATGAAAAAACAACTTCTCATAAAAATACAACCGCTGTTCGTAGTCGGTATAAAAATTCAGGTCTTTTAAGTTTTGTCATAGAATTAGTGAGATTTTATTGACACTACACTGAGCGGAAAAATATTTGAATTAAATTTAAAAAAATACGCAACTCATTATAAATTTTAGTATAGAAATTTTAGTATTTAGTATATACGCCCATATAAAATAAAAAGTTTTGCACTTCACGGATGCTTTTTCATAATTAATATAAGCAAATACATTTATTTCCAAGCTGCCTTTAACGGGATTTGAACCCAGATCCTCTGGAAATTAACGAATTGCGGCAAGTAGCTTTGCGCACTCAGCTACAGCCAGACATGTAATATTTCTTAATATTAGAACGCATTTTTTCTCTCAGCGTAGAGTGGTTGCGGTTTTCAAATGTTGTGTATTGTTTATCTTCTAAGTAAGCGTCCCTGAGTTCACCTTCATTACGTTAAGATCGGAAATACATAGCCGTCTAGATATTAATATTTGCTATGATCCTCCGACCACTCTTTCACCGATCGACAATAATGAATTGCTGTAATATTTCGCTGACAATTAAGACTGTTTCAGAATCTCCTGCAAGATAAATTCATTAACAAACTCCAGCATCTATCCCCGATCTCCCATGGAGAGGCCTTACTCAGATTTTTGTCTATCTACCCGGACGGATCTAGAAATCCGAAACACCTTGTTGTAGGTATTAAATAGCGGAATAGAATATATACTTTTTTTTCTGCGCAAAATATGCCCAATGTTCCACATAAATATGTTTTGTTTAAACTTTCGTTCAGTATTAAATTATTCACTTTGCATGTATTAAATTCAAATGCAGTTTAATATGTCATCAGAGTGCATTTAGTGCAAAAAATGGGTAGAAAAAAATACCTTACTCTGAATAGAAAATTCATAAAAAAATTGTATCTTATATTTTTTTCTTCAAATAAATGCAGGGAATTTTTAAAAAGGAATAAACATTGCATGCGCTATTTGATTATAAAAGTTTAATCCAATTTACGATGAAACGTAAATTATTCTGCTTACTATTTACTGCTTCATTAATGATTTTTTTTGTTATAATTATATAATTCGTATTGGGCGTTAAAAAATACATACATGTATTTATGTATGTATGTAAAATTGAACTTTGTAAGCTTGGCTGAATTCAGATTCATCAATTTGATTGTACACATACGCACAAAGCATTGAGGTTGTTCACGCTTGCCTGGTTATCAGGTTATCTGGTTAAAAATTATTATTGCGTAGCGTATTTTATTGTTGTAAACTGAATAAACATAAGCTGATAACCAGGCAAGCGTGAACAACTTCAGCGTGTTTTAACACTAGAAAGACGGAAAGGGTTCATTTGACCCAAATTCATATTTGACTGCCAATATTTATTTTGCCAGTTATTTTTATAAACTGGTATTTTGTTACTTTTATTAAAGAATGCATACAATTAAATTTCCAATTTAATTGATTTCAAACTGAAATACAACCTAAGGACGGATAGGGGATGTATATTACGTTTTTTTTGTACTAATAACACTGGTCTACAAGGGTTTTGCGAATAAGACGGGACCTGGTGTTTCCGAACGGATTTTTCGTGCTGAACACGAATCTGGGGTCCAAAACTTCCCATCACGTCACGTTTTCGAGAAAAAAGGGGTTGAAACCCCTATAAACAGCGTTTTTGGCCATTTTTGAAAAATTGTAGAGCTGAACCCTGACGTGCTACAAACTTTGTATATGTCAGAAATTAAAGGCTAAATCGTGCCCTTTCGAATGAGCCCTATGCCGAATTAATCGCATGCACCCTTAGATCAGGGGGTGTATTTGTGTCTAGGAGTCCAATTTTTATATCCACCATATTCGACCCGTCATCTTAAATTTTTAAAATCTAACTGCAGATTCGTAATCAGCGACTTTTAATATAGTTAAAACCTTGGCATTATTAATTTTCTATGATCGTTTAAGATTAAATTCTTTCTGTGATCAATTTTTCCTGCACCCCTAAACACAAATACACCCCCTGCTTTAAGGGTGCACGCGATCAATTCGGCATAGGGCTCATTCGAAAGGGCACGGTTTAGCCTTTAATTTCTGATATATGCAAAATTTGTACCACGTCAGGGTTCAGCTCTATAATTTTTCGAAAAAGGCCAAAAACGCTGTTTTTAGGGGTTTCAACCCCTTTTTTCTCGAAAACGTGACGTGATGGGACATTTTTGACCCCGGATTCGTGTTCAGCACGAAAAATCCGTTCAGAAACACCAGGTCCCGTCTTATTCGCAGAAAAAAAGTTGAAATTTGTAGACCAGTGTAATAATAAGTAATAGATTGGCGCTTACGCAATACGTTAGTGTTTGGCCGAGCTTCTCTTCCGATTTATGGTGTGACAACATCGTCACTCAAAGGAAGGGGGCCTGCAATTCTACGCCGACTCCGAAAGGCGAATGTATTTTTATAAGAAGCTGTTTTTAATGGCAGAAATACACTAGGACGTATGCCACTGCCTGCCGAAGGGCGGCCATTATTAGAAAAAACTTGTTTCTGTTTTTTTTTTATGTTTTCGGAAACTGTGCTCGAACCCAGGCCCTGCGGAATGGTAGTGCGCACTGCGGTTGTCGTTGCATTTCTCTCCCCCATCGAGAAACATGGAAGGAAAGTTCAGAACAAGAGCGATGAATCCGCCTTAAAACTACCATAAAGAAATTTCACAGTTGGATGTTTAATTTTGCGAAGAATGGAAACAGAAAAAAAGTATTTTTTTCTTTTATCAATTTAGGGCCTAAATGAGAGCAACGTTACTTCAAAAATAATATCATGTCGTCAGCAAAGACTTTTTCACGCTACAAATTAGCTGTGATCCAATACTTTTCCCATAAAATCTTATAAAAATGTCAAACAGCAAAATTACTCCCTGAAGTGAGAGTAAAAAGTGAGTAACAACAAAAAGTACATTTTTCCTGTAAGAACATCAACCAGTGATCGCTTGACGCTTTTCATGATTTTACCAGAAGAAAAAGTTCGGGTAAAATCTTGCAGTTTCATTCTCTACACAACTCTCCAAAAATCGCTATCATTTACAGGATTTTGGAGGAATTTGGATTACGGGATCATTTTTTCCTGTAACTTCCTGCAAGTTTGTGTAAAAACCTGTAAATTCGTGGACTACTGCACCAGAGCTAATGTTAGCATTGTGATATTAGCTCAATAATCTATGTAATTACAAGCAGGGACCGACAGTAATCATTATTATAAAGGATTTTTATTTAAAACCATTGAAAAATTGTCATTTGCTATTTTTTTATTTTTCGACAATTTTAATCGTTATTTTATGATTTTGATTATTTTTTTTCGATATTTTTGATCGTTGTTTTTGGATTTTTACTTTTTCGATCAAAAACAATCGTTACACTTGGATTTTTATTTTTCCGATAATTTTTAATCGTTATTCTATGATTTTAATTTTTTGGGTCATATTATAACCGTTATTTTCAGATTTCAATTTCTAGATCATGAAAGATTTAAATCGTTTATAAAAAGCAGTCCCTATTATAATTCTTAAAAATAAGCGAAAAAATAAAAACTCAAAATAACGATTATTCTGATCGAAAAAAATAAAATCACAAAATAACGATTAATGATGATGGAAAAACTAAAAATTACATAATAACGGTTAAAAATTATCGAAGATTCAATTCAAAAAATAACAATTAAAATTGGGATTGGATTTTTATAATAAAAGTCATAACGGTTATGGTGCCTGTTAATAAGTAGTTAAGAGCATCACAGGTGTGTGGTTAAAAAAAATATATTAATTAAATTTTTAATTATTTTATGATTACTTATTAAATATTTTTGATTTTTTTACACATATGTATATGTAGTTACATATGAAATATAACTAAAATCTTGAACTCCTTAACTTTAAACTTTTTTATACAAATTCCTCTTAACGATTATTCAAATTTTACTAATTAAAACTTATGTAGCTACATCCGAACACAAAATACATTCACAAAAGTTAGGTAATTTAACCATTTCCTCCTTCATCACGCCATTCACCAGCACCACCAACTTCCTAAAGGTAAAGCGTTGTATACATTTTGCAGAAATGCCGAGTGGCAAATTTTGGTCATTGCTGCAAGACTTCACCACATTTTCGCACTCCTCTACCAACACGCCTTGCTTATGCTGCTCATGCTGCACCACCAACAACCACTTGGCTTCCTTTGACAGCGCACCCTTTGGATAGATAATGCGAGACTTGCTATTGCAGCTGGGCTTTTCCGCCTCAACTTGCATACGACTCGCAACATTTTGTGGTTTTATTATTAAATCATCCTGGAAATATGATTTGAATAACTCAAATTGTTCCGCGTCGATTTTGTCCAGTTGCGTAGCTTCTGCATAATTTTGAATCTCTGTGCAATATGATTTGCCAATGCTGCGTTCGGCGCAAATAATTTCATCATCAAATTCGTTGTTGGATGGTCCTGTATTGAAGACCATCATGCCTGGACCGACTTTAAAGATTCTTCCCAGTTCGCTAATCACATTTTTGGCGGCAACGGCATCGGCGGTGGCGGCGGCATTGGCTCTAGGTTTTGGCCTGCCATTAGCTGGCTGGATTATCAACAGAAAGGCGAGTAACGATAGTGTAAATGTGGTATTCATTTTTAGTGAATTTTTGAACATTTCAGTTGTGACTTAATAACCGGATTCGTTTTGTGTTACTTTTAGTTATTTTGTTGCGTTTTTGAAATGAATTTTAGCAGCATATTTTTCCGAGCTTGAAATGTGTCTAATGTTTTTGGATTTGTTTAACTCTCACTGCTGTGTTGATGAATGGCGACAACAGCTAGTTCTTAGCTCAATATATAGCTCATCTCAGCGAATTTCTGTTTTTGGAAAACCCCGTTAGCTGTTATTGATGGTTTTTCAACACTGGCATATGCCTTGCTTGCCTAAGCCGTTCAAAGTATTGTGAAAGGATTTTACCCGCGGGAATTTCTTTAAAGTTGATGTGGTTATGTCCGAAAGCAGGTAGGAACTCGCCGCCGCTGTTTCCTAATTTAGGGGCATTGTTATTTTATGCGATGGAGTGGGCAAATGCTGTTGCTGTTCATGAATGTATTGCGAACAAATGCAAACAATCGATTTTATCGCTGATGCCAGCATAAGATTTTATTCACAAAAGGGACTGCCGAAATGATTGAATTTGAACTGGAAAAATTATCTTTTGCCAAAACTTCAATTCCACAAGTTCCGCATTAAACAAAAAAAAATTTTGGCAGTTATTTATAACGCAAATAAAACCATCAAAAGCAACTACAGGGAAAATTCAGTGAATGTCCTATGTATATATATTTAAAGCCGAAATCTGGCAACACTACTTGTACCTTCAGTTAAACTTGGGAAACTCCGATCTGAAAACTGTCGGAAATCCCAAGTCGTTAGTTTCCCATGTTGCCTGCACAGGTACCGAATAGCCACAGGTGTAGCTGTAAACATTCTGTGACACTTCTAGATGCTTAGAGAATATATAAAAACAGGTGCACTCATCAGTCTCTACCTTAGAAGCAGTAGTGAAAGCACGGTGAGCAGCGGCGACTCATCTCAGAGCTAAAATTTTTTAAAGATGTTAAAATTTAATGCCTTATTAATACTATCTACACTTGCGCTGCTAAACAAAACTCAGCGAGTCATCGGCAGATCGGCACCCATACCCGCCGCCGAAGCAGCTGAAAATGTACTAAGTGATTTGGGTAACATATTCAAAGTCGGTCCCGGTATGATGGTATTCAACAACGGACCATCCAGCTTCATCATTGACCACTCACTCAAAAACAATGAAGGCGGCGACGACGATGACGGCGTTGATAAAATCAATTGCGCTGAGCGTAATGCTGGCAAGTCATATTGTACTGAAGTGCCAAATTATTTGGAAGCCACACAGCTGGATAAGATCGATCCAGATCAATTTGAACAATTCAAATCATACTTCAAGGATGATTTTGTACCACCACAAAATGTGACGAATCGCATGAATGACGAACGTGAAGAGTATTTTTGCAATAGTAAATCGCGCATAATTTATCCGAAAAGTGTTGAATCGAGGGAGTCCAAATGGGTGCTGGTCGTACAACACGCCCAACTTAGGCAGGGAGTTTTGGTCGAACAGTGTGAAAATGAGGAGCGGCCTTGCAAATATGACAATCTCTTGCCGCTGGGAATTTCATCGAGATGTAAACAGCACTATGTATATAGAAGCTTGGTGGTGTTGGTGAATGGCGTGTTGAAGGAGGATATGGTGAAATTACCAAACTATTGTGAATGTGTGTTGCGTTTTAATTTAAGATTTTAAGTTTAAGTTGGTTTTTGTATTGTTTGCTAATTTTTGTTTTCACAAACAACTCTGGCTGTGTAGTGACGCTTAGAGCAATTTTAGCTTCTGGAGTTCACAGCATTGAGCTGTTGAAGTGAATAAATATGTGCTTTTTATATAATTAATATTACAGCGTATCGCTTCAATTGTCTTTGTCGTGTCTTTATTTTTCTTCACAAGACTGTGCATGTGCCATTCAAATTTCGATGGGCTCTTTCCAAACCATTATTTTCCTTTCCCTTTTTTTATCGAATTTTCTAAAATTAAATTTACTGTATATATTTCGATTCTTTAACGAAATTTCGAAAGAAAATCGGTTATTACTGCGATATGAAGACTTAGTTCAGATTTTCTTTAAAAAAAATCGTACGAAAATTTCTTTACTAGGTCGTGTTGACCACTTTATACGATTTTCTTTAAAGATTCATAAAAAAATCATTACAGAATTCGGAAGACACTTGCTTTCGTTAAGAATATGGGGATCCCTTGATTCCTTAGAGGTCATGCCGAGGTCATCCCAAGGTGAAATTTAGATGAATTTTATTGAATTTTGAAGTTTATTCAATGAATTGTTCAGTACTTGACCTTCAAATGACCTCGAAGCTGACATTATGGAGGTTAACGGACCTCGGATTCGGGTTCAGCGAATCTAAAACCCCATATATATGATTTTGTATTTACTTGACCCTCAAATGACCTCGAAGCTGACATGATTCAGGTTCAGCGTGTCGAATATAGGGATATATAGGTTTGGTTTACATAATATTCACAAACTTTTTTTCGTTGTAAACCTGTGTAATTCTTGGTCGAATTTTTCGCTCAAAATTATTTGATCCCATCGTAGGATGGGCTTTTTGACTAGTTTTATAATAAAAGTGGTTGTCTTTGCTTCGTCTGCCTCATTGGCTCGTAGCAAACTGAATTGTTTAGTATCTACGATTTGAATCGAAATTCGAATATGTTATTGTGCTCTGTTGGCAGTTATGGGCCTTGCGAATGTAAATAACGGACTCTTTAAACCCTCTTAGCTGAGTATAGGGCATACTACTGGCTAAACCCTCGGTCATCAAGCTCACCGTTGCACCAATTGTATGCTTCTCTTGTGTTCTTCTTTAAACACCTAAATATATTTTACATTTTGTTTCTGTGTCTTCAACTTTCCAGACATAAATTTTATTTTCAATTGCTTATGTATGTTCAGTTGAAATAGCACATGTATGCATAGCTAAATAGTATGTATGTATAAATTATTTATACTATATGCTAATTCATTGCATACACGAAATCAAAGAATTAAATTACATACATGTGTATATATTTACATTAGGGCGGTCCAAAAATGTGTGTGAAAAAGTAAAGTTGGAATTTTAATACTCTCATCCACTAGGTTTGTTCTATATCGAAAAATATACGCATATTTTTTTATTTTAAAATCAAAAATTATTTAGACGTCGCTCCAAACGATCAAAGTTTTCCATGCATTTTATATGGGTAAAAACAACTTTTCGTAGAAATGGTAAAGAATTCTTGAAAATCGATATTTTTCGATCGGAAAACTCTGGTTCGTTTCAGGAGACTTCCAGTAATAATGATCAACTGTTTTTTAATACTAATGATTTTTTATTGGCAAACCTATAAAATATAGTTACTATGAAAAAATCGCCAAAAAAACAATTGAGTATTATTGATGGGAGTCTCCTGAAGAGAAACAAGGTTTTCCGATCGCAAAATATTGATTTTCAAGAATTCTTTACCATTTCCACGATAAGTTGTTTTTACGCATATAAAATAGATGCAAAACTTGATCGCTTTGAGCGACCTCTAAATATTTTTTGATTTCAAAATAAAAAAAATAGGGAAATCTTTTTCAATATAAAATTTTAGAGGGGTGAGAGCATTAAAATTCCGACTTTACCTCTTTGTACCACCCTAGTGTGCATACTTATGTAGCGTTCGAATGTAGTGTATGGTGCTTTGTATTGAAATTGAAGCACAATTTTTCCAATATGTATACATACATATTTATGTATGTTCATATGTACATAACTGGCATATTGATACGCCGCCGTGTCTAATCCTGACGCCGGTGCAAGTGCGGATATTGACCCATGATGCGACCCCATAACGCTCAATGTCACTTGAACATATACCATAAATGTACATACGAATGTACGTATGATTTATGTACATATGTACGAATGTATGTTCTGTGCCTTTATTCTGCATATTTATATGTACTATATAAGTGTGCACATATTGCCGGGCGATAACTATCATTTTTTTTCAATAACATTTACAAATGGGTCATGACTTTTAGTCTAACAAGTACTAAATACACAGTGCAACAGCATTTAGGAGGCGGATGATTTCAACTCAGGATGAAAAACTCTGTCCCATATGGTGGAACGTCCAAAAATTTTGCACTCTCAGATAAGTTTTTTTTATGGCCACATAAAAGAGTTAAACTTCACATGCGAGCGAAATATGTAGAATAGGTATATATAGTAAAATTTCGCGGCGATTAATTTTTTAGAACATTTTAACCTATTAGCACTCTCGAAATGGATACTTTTACCCCTTTTTTGGAAAGTCGGAATAAAATGGCATTTGGGTGGGCGCTAGAAGGTTAAAATGTTCTAGAAAATTATTCGCCGGAAAATTTCACCAGGGTTATTCTCAGACGAAATCCTATAATTAACGTAAAAGTCCAAGGAAACTTAAAAACAAATATGTCCCCTTGAAATATGCAATAACTTTTTCATGCTATGTACATAATGACAATGAGTGACACAAACAATTCATCAGCACATTTCGCCATGTGTGTACATGTGTGGATATATTCTGAAAATCTGTTCATTCATAAGCACCATTAAAAATAGTCATTTGTCTGCAAACACATTCATATGTACATACATATGCATTGGATGTGTTCATATTTTCATGTTGCTAGCAATCATTTTGACAGTGATTACTTGCATGTCACTTGCGCCATTCATTGGTAGTGTCGCTTGTTAAGTTCCAGCTGTTGTCACTGCTGTCCGCAACCCTGTCACACATTGGCGCAGATCTTTTAGTGTGTCCTTCGAATGTGACCTTAGCACTGCTCATTTGTTACCCAATGGATTTTGATTTATTAGATACGTTCGTTCGTATAATTCACATATGCGCTTTTATTTTCCGTTTGTGCATTTTTTATTGTAATTGGTTTTATTGTAACTCGTTGGATTGGCACTTTCTAGTTATTTAATGATTTTATGAAAATGAAGCTTATTTTTTGTTGTTGCCAACG